TCGCTGGTCGGCAGTTTGCTATGGATTGCACGATGCACGCGTCCAGACATTGCGTTTGTGGTCCACAAAGCCACGCGCCAGACACATGCACTGCGCGTACGAGACTGTAAACTCGCAAAGAGGATAGCGCGCTATCTTAGCGGTAGCAAGGTGATGCGGCTTGAATGCGCACTAATACCGACCGCAACAAACAAATAACGCTCGAGTCTTACAGTGATGCCGACTTTACTGCCGACAAGGGAGACAGAAAATCGCTCACTGTTGTCATCGTTTTGCTAAATGGGATGCCTGTAAGCTGGGCAACCAAGAAAAAAGGTAGTGTCTCTCTCTCGACTATGGAGGCCGAACTTATCGCGGCATCTGAGACTGCACGCGAGTTTTTTGGTATTCGAGAGATGCTTAAAGAGGTGGGACTCGCACCGACTAAGCCTATGTCGATGCATGTCAAAAACGAGGCCACGATTCGCCAGATCGAAGAAGAGACTTTGTCTCTAGTAGCTAATCGACGTGCGCCTCAAGTTTGTTAAGCACTTTGCGCGTCGCGGCGTCGTTGAGATGCGCTACATCCGGTCCGAGCTTATGCTCGCGGACTTACTGAAAAAGGCGTTAGGCCAGCACAAGCTTGTAGGGCTGCGAGCGCTTGTGGGGTTGCGCTTGATATAGCGGCGAAGACACGATCGCGAGGAGGAGTGCTTGAAGAACGGCTTACAGCATACGTTGCCCGATCGAATCTCCGGACCATAGGACGATGTGATTGCGCACACGATGACGCGACATGATTGCGCCAAGAAGAAAGGCTCAGAGGTAACTCGGAATAGCGAACTAAGGACCTCAATATACTCACTTCGTCTTTTTTAACATGGTGCACTTGGTAGAACTTGTCGTCATTTCGACTACCGCATTGTGGCAATATTTTATAATTTGCGTAGAAGAGCGAGAACTGTTTGATTACCTGTCTCTGGAACATTTCGACACGCATATTTAGCTTATGTCTGCCGTTGGTCTCAAAAATATCTGGAATAGCTGATCTTATCGCCGAGCTTCAGTACCACTAGCGCGCTCATTGACCTTCGCTGTTTTGTTCCCTAAATTGCAGTCCACACTCAATGCCACACCAACATTTCATTGAAAATGGTGCGGCAACTCTGGAAGGTATAGATAGGAGTCACAGCTATTCTGAGTGGTTTTATCCATCGAGAGAGAACAACTCTACGAAACTCAAAAATCTTGCTTCATCTGTGGAAGTAAATAACATCTGCACTCAACGTACTCTATAGCTCTAGGGTGAGAGGTACAAAGGGAAGAGCTTTAAGCAAGGATATCGTGCGTGTAAACGTCGGGTCTCATTGGGCACAGGGCGGCCTACTGAAGATTATGGTCTCTTTTGTACCTCGTGAAAGCGCGAGGGAATAAGACTCGGCTCTGAAAGGAGAAACTAATTAAGGAGGTGTAAGGCACACAGCCCCAGGTGTTTGGCTTTTGATACCAGCGTCTCGAGATTTAAATTTTGTGGAAAGTCAGTATTGTCGTGCTAACATGTTACAACGCTACTGTAAGAAATGTTTTACGCGTGTAGGCGTTGGAGATGCCAAATACAGGTACGATATCCGCGCATCTTTCGAGGGGATACTGGTTAAAGTAAGGTCGTGTTAAATGTTCATGTGCAGCTTAAAGAATTTGATTGCCGCCTATCCTGGACGCCAATGTGGGATACGAGCTCTCATAAAAATGGCGTGGCTAGAACGCGACAAATTGTAGATCGACCAAATTAGGTAACATGCCTTTCTCTCCTGGTGAATTTCTGGCAAGCAATGAGTCCATCATCTCAAGATAGCAGTAAATATTTTAGCGTGGGAACAATGGTGCGATAGCTTCGGCGCATGATATAGGATTGTCAAGGTGTCTCGAGTAGAACTTTAGAAGGCAGAACCGACATTAAACCACGGTCTCAAGATTAGCTTACAAAGACTGAGTGTATACATAAGTCTCCAGAATGGGTAGAGGAGAGTAGCTGTGAGCTGGTGTCTTTTGTGTCAGAGAAGGTGGGGTGTAGAAGCGACCAGGTGCCGCAGACTCCTGGCCCAGAGCCGGTGGCGTCTTAGGGCGATTATAAGTCGTGAGAAGAATGGATGGGATACTAAGATAAGCAGATTGTTTCATCGTTGTTATGACGGGACTGTATTACTGTGTCGGCGTTGGTCCATCGGGCTGAGTACTATAGCACTTCGAGGAGAATGCGAAGAAATCATTTAATCGTAGTATCAGGGTTGTTAGGATTCTTCAGACATCCTTCAAGCTTTAAAGGAGCTGGAAGGAAAAACAGGAATAGTATGAAACAATTGCAAGACGGTGAAGCCACCTGTGTTACCTGGTTTCTGCCGGAGAAGTTGTCCATGGCATCCGCAGCGGGTGAATCTCTAATTGAGGATATTTGCAAATGTGTAGACTGGGAGAGCAATATTCAAGGATCCTAAGTAATTACACAGTACAGAACTATAAAATGAGTTCACCAATGAAAGTATGGACCCGCCTCCCAAATCGCCAACTCAATTAGTGCAAGGTGATGTCGGGACTTCAGAGCTTTTGCTGATTGGTAAAGTCATCCGCTCTACGGGAGTAGTTGGCGAGCTTTAGGCCACGATAAGTCATTGAGATATCATATTTGAATACTTCTTGCATCTTCTCTTCAGTTGTCTCACAATGAGAATCTGATATCAAGCAATCAATCAATTGTTTTCACTGCGAAAAACCTCCAAATTTGATTATGCAGCTTGTGTAGCTTTCAACAATCTCAACGATAGATTAAAACACAAACCCTTGTGCATCCAACCACTTCACGCACGAGACTGCTATTGCGTAATCGATTTTAAATGACCTTCCACTTTCTCAGCGTGTCTTTGTTCATTTCGTTGCCAGTGTCTTGAGCTTCGATTGACCATTTTTTTGTCGCCGTGGGAATCAGAGAATGCTCACCGTGTGCAAGATAACGTTCAATGTACCGCGAGTACTTTGAAGAGAGATTAATCAACTTGGATCGACACAATTATTACCCTGGATTAAAAGATACACATAGCTCATGAAGAGACACAGCTTTTTAGAGTACCGCAGAACGCTTTCCTATTCTAAATTACTGATATGGTGACGAAATCAAAGACTCCAAGTACTGGGCAAGGTGATACCAAAGCCGCCGCAGCTGCTGCAGAGGCTGCTTTAGCCAACACGAATGACCCGAAGGTGGAGGAGGAAAGTCAAATTAAAAGTGGCACGTTTTTGTTTAGTGACGGTAGCAAATACAGTGCGTTAACATGTTCAGTTTCAGAGATTGCACAAGCTGATAATCGTATACATATTAGTCGGTGACTACTGCTTAGTTGGTGGTAAGGTGGTTCGTCAAGGGCGTGGCTCTTTCGATGCAGGAGCCGAACAATACGAAGGTGAATGGCTTAACGATCAGATGCACGGCCGAGGGAGGTACTGCTTCGGAACAGGTGCAATTTACGACGGAGAGTTCCAAACTAATCTATTTCACGGAAAAGGAACTTACTATTGGACGGACGGAGCCCATTATGAAGGAAGTTGGCACCTTAATCGGTGCGTCAATAGTATTCGGAATTATAGAATGGCATTTACTCATGATTTGTGCTACTAAAAGAATGCACGGGGACGGTGTTTATAAAGACAAAAATGGCGCAGAGTGGCGCGGTCGCTTTATAAACGGCAAGTACGACAATGGTCGCATCTTGCACGTAGTGAGATGATTTGGAAGTCTTTACGAAAGATTAAGTTTGTCAATAATATTGTTAGGAATGAGTATTTGGTGACTTCGACTAAGAGAGAAATGTTTGGCACAAAGCTGAGCCGATGCGGTCAATTGGCGGCAGCAGCCCGTTCTGCAGCAGCTCTAACTCATCCTCCATAACGCTCTGATCACCATATAGTAACCGCTCATTTGCGATGAGTTGAGCCATAAAGCCTCGGTTCGGAAAGATAAGGGGGCGGCACTTAAGTACGTGACTGTACGCAGCCGATAGAGTGCACTTCGTTTGTAACATAACATACCAAATGCAAATCGTGGATGAACGCGAAACGCCTTGGACGCAGTGGATGAGTACCCGACCGTTCTCCGCCGCCGCCTTTTGAATAAACTTCATTGTAGGACCAAACTCTTGTGCAATATTCACGTCCACATTATCCTTAATTAAAACGTCAAAATACTTCACGTGCTTGAACTTGTTTCGCTGTTCGGTTATCGCACCCATATTTACAACATGAGATATTTGCAAGGCGTTAATGACCTTCAACGAATTGGCTTGCCAAAAGTTGCCTAGATAGAGAAATCCGTCTACAATCTCATTTGGATAGTGCATCGCCGACGACGGACTCGACATTGCTGTCTCTGTAAACGCCTTCTGTGGTCTAGTCCCTATTTCTGTTGGTATTCGCAATGGTGACGACACTAACATGAAATTGTATTTTTCTGCGAATGCGGGAAATCCTTGAGCCAGGAATCGAACTGAAAAAACACGACCTTCATTCGCAAGCATCTTGGCAAAACGATAACCCCAATCCATCCTGTACAGAAATGACGCACTTGTGTGGTTTCCACCGATGATTACAACTTCGATTAGGTCTCGAATTTCAAGCTTTTCACGCAATTTTGTGTTCTCACTCAATTCCAGCAGATCATCTACCGATTTAATACTCTGTCCAGCACAGCTCAGCGCTCGCAAATAAGCCCTTGAGCTCATGTGCGGAAAGTGCAACGCATCCGGAAGGTGGCCCGCCGAGAATTCAAAACTTTTGCGACAGTCAACAAGCACAACACCGGAAGTCTGCAGACGGTTGTAAAGTGAAGTGATTGAGATGAATGGTACACACCGCCTTCGGTGCCTTCGCGAAACAAAAGGGATGCTGAGTGACAATGACGAGGATTCCACTCCAGTTTCGGCCGCACGCTCGGTCGAGCGGTGTGAGCCAGACGGACAAGTCGAGACACTACTGGACGCTGCATCAAATGATTTTTCCTGCTTCTTTTTCATATGTGGATGTTACTCGTCGTTTTCCATACAACACGTATATCCGCAATACTACGTTAGATAATGAAAAGCGGGCTATGCGGTTGATTGCCAATTGAGCTTCGCAGTCGGAAATGTTGCACCATAACACTTTGCCTCTAACTCCCAGATGGATTAGGCATCCGGACAACTATCCGGATTCAGATTTTTACAGGAAGTCTTTAAGTTGTAAAGTATGGATGGACAAAACTAGTCCATGACTGCTCATCCAAGGGTATGTACTATTGTAGGAATAAAGTCAGAGCAGACAGCCTCAACCCTTTCATTAATTTGTGGGGAATCGGTCTGACGTTTGGCTATGGCGACAAGCCTGCATTAGCTAGCGGTCGGACCTGTGGTGGACTATAAATTTTGATAACGTGATGAGAATAGCTCAACTTAATGTAGCTATACCAGAAAGGCTGCGTGTTTATCTCCAAATTACTATTTTTATAATTTATTCTGAGGTGAAGCGGTTTAGGATACCTATCTTGTGGCCTATGTCGAAGTGCGTCCATGTACAAGGGTGCGGGCAATCGTCATCCATCAATATTGCGAGTTGATAGATGAGTATTTGTTTTGAGGCGGCTGCCAATCCGGATCAAAATTGTGGCTTGCTTTCGTTGCCAGCAATTAGTAATTGGTCAAAATGTAATTCACCAATATCGCTTCCATAACAAGACCAGTTCGTCAAATTCCTGCTGTCGCCCATGCATACAAAAGTCTATACCGTCGTTCACATTGCGACTAACATACGTCGAAGGGGTGCGTCGAGATTGCAGCTAATCAGCCAGCAATGCTACAAAGACATGCTTTGTTTGCAGGTCTAATATAGATAGATAGATACACACGACTGGAAATGGGGTGTCCACAACAAACAGTTGTCAATGTCTGCCGTTCGTGCGCTTGACATTACTTCATTGCACGCGGATTGGTACAAACAGGCCAAAGATCGTGTCTATGCTGTGTGTACGATGCTTCCTGACACCATAGCTATCAGTCTAGCAGTTCGCTCCAGATAAGCACATTTACGTTATAAAGGGACACAGTCAGCAAGGATGCAGAAAGCTCACCGTTTAGCGCCATAGAGCACTAAAACTGCTCGATTCAAGCGGCAGTTATCAATTTTCTGTCCGAATTTAATGGCAAGCTAACCTAATGCAATCAGTTCCTGCTATGCTTATGCTGATGTATCACGTGTTGTGCAAAAAAAAATTCAGAATGAATCAATCGAAGCACCCGCCGCTTTCGAGTGCATTACAAGGTAAGTGACTGAACTTATAAGCTTACCATAAGGCGCGTTTCCACGACTTTCAATGAACATAACATCACATCGGTTATTAACTCCAACTCCAGTCTTGCTGTCGATCGTATTATACGTGTTGACTACGCTTGGTGATACCAAAATCGGACACTTTAAAGGATAATAAACGCAGTAAACGCGTCATTAAAAAGCGACAGACACGTATTCCAACCTTTTGCATTATTTCGTCTATCTTAACTCTGTCAAAATGTTCAATAATTATATGATCAATTTAACTATCAAAGCTTGAAATAGAAAATCCAAGAATATTAAGGGTCCACCTTATAGCTAACGGATAACTCCGCATATAACATTTTGTAAAGTTTGCAAAATCCCAAGACATCGCCTTTTCGTGTTAGCCGTATATACTGGAGGAAGAAACCACGAAAGTATGATGGAACCTTCGGCCTCCACCTCTGCGACGCCCGCTCCCGCCGCTCCCACCTTTGCCGCGACCTCATCTCCAGGCGCTGGAGGCAACGGACATAACTCGGCCACAGCCCCTGGGACTGCGATGCTACGCCAGCTCTCGAATCAATTTAAATCGCAAATTTCGCAGGTGCAGATGCCCCCAGCCATTAAAGAGCGCACAGACGAACTAGAGCGCCGCATCTCGGCCACAGACATCGCGCGCATCAATGGCTACATGCGACTGGTCAATATCGTGTTCGCTAGCGGTCTATGGGTTACGTGCTTCCTTCGCATGTTTCAAGCACCCAGCTACTCGCATTTCCTCGTCTGTATCTACATAATGTATGTCTGTCAGTCCTTGGTTTATGCTTCACCATATTTTTTTCTGACGGTTGATATTCTTCTTTGTTGATCGAAGGTTTCTAAGTGCAGGGCTGGTGTTTATCGAAAACCATGAGCGTTTTCCGTCTGTTGCGGACCGTATTAAGGCCAATTTCGGCTTCATGTTTTCAGCCATTGGCAAGGCATCTTACATTCTATGGTGCGTTTTTCTTTTCGGCAATGCGTAGGACATATCCTGACCTTGGCGCTTTTGACTAGTATCGCGTTCCTTGCCGTCTCGCAAGGCTGGATCGGCTGGATTCTTGGAATGAGCTTCTTCTTTTTGGCTCTTTTCAATTTCTTCCTTATCCACCGAGTACGTATGATCTGATGTTTTTTTGAAGGGATTTTTTTTACTCATTGTGGATATCTGGTGATACTATTAGCACCCGGCGTACAAACAGGCTATGCTGCAGTCAACGGGCGGTAGCGCTATAAGTGCTCAACAGGAGGAGGCAGACCTTGAGTCCATGCCTGAACTCCGCTACAATCAAAAGCAGGCGCAAGTGCCCGCAGTTGGAACGTCGAGTGCTTCCGGTGCTCAACCGTCTCATGTTTCGGTGTGAGTTACATCGACAACATCGAGAATGAGAGTTGAGGTGCATGGTCATATCAGCTTCTAATGCATTTTTTATTGGTTTGAATTTAATACATTGCGTACTAGTTAGCGCACTTAATGCCAACTTACCCCAAAAGACACAAAATGCAACGGATGCCATTAATTTCTTGCTAACTCTCAAGCACTTAAAAGCGTTACTCCTTTACTCCTTAGCTTCGCCGCCGTGCTGTCCTACCACACCATCTCCGTGGTATTTAAGTGTTTTGACCCAGTTACTGCGGAGGCCAGAAGGATGCTTAAATTGAAAGGACGATTTTTTGCCCTTTTGTTTAATGAGCGTCTCGATATGCTTTGGTAGAAAGTTGTGTGAATACGAAATCTTTCCATCGTGATCACCACCTGGCGCAGGATCGGCGACTTCTAACTCCCAACCTTGTTTCTCGGCAAAATGCTCAGCAGCTTCTTTAGTATCAAATTTAGCCATCAAACCCACGTACGGATCAGCCGTACTGGTCCAGCCCATCAATGGGTTTGCCCAAGTACGAGGACTTTGGAAGCGAACCTCCCAGTGCTTAGTCTGCTGCATACCGCTTTGCATTTGGTTACGAGCCGGCATGAATAGCTTGGCCTTGCGACCTACAGACCACTGGCCCGTCCCGGACATGATTGCTGCTTCCTCAGGAAACGGCATTGGGGACTCGTCGATGTCTGGAAAGCAAGCATCCGATGCGTGGTACGGTAAAACTGTGTTCCCAAAGCATCACATTCAAATTCAGCATCATGTGCAATCATATGTGCTACTAGGAAACGTACTGTTGCGTTCGGCGTCGGCGTAATGTTGTTGGCGCAGCTTGGCCATGAGTTTTTCCTCAGCAACAGCGGCCTCAGCTTTCGCAGCCTCTTCATTCTTTGCAACCTCCGAGTAAGCGCGAGAAACACTTGTGACAGTTGCTCTCTTGGATGAGGGGGTCGCACCAGCTCGTGATATTCCTCTAACTACACAAGACGACATCGTTGTGGATTTAGCCGGTAACAGTAAAATTGTTTGCACAAGAGCCTCTTATATTTTTTTGAATATTTTATAAACTAAAATTGTTTCAAATCTTTGATACTAACATAGGTGAAATGTGGTTGTTGCGGCGCAAAAATCTAAGCAAGCGGTTCGCAAAGTTACAGATACAGAATAGAAAGCGCTCACAAAATCGATGGTAGTGGCCTCTTACGAC